CTGTGTGATGCCATCATGTCAATATGGACCAAAATCTCTGAGGAATGCTTCCAGCACCTTGTTGAATCTATGCCACGAAGAACTGAGGCAGTTCTGAAGGCAAAAGGGGGTCCAACCTGTTACTAGCGTGGTGTACCTAATAAAGTGGCCGGTGAGTGTATATATATATATAAGTCTGTTTATGTTGATCAAACTGAGTCAGGTTTATGTTTAAACTATTTTTAGTCTCACTTCCATATATAATAAGAAACAAKGTTCTTATTATACATGGAAGTGAGACTAAAAATAGTTTAAACATAAACCTGACTCAGTTTGATCAACATAAACAGACCTTTTCCCTGATTTCTTCCACAACACCATCTTTCTTCTTACAGCAGGGACGTCTGAAAGATGAGACAGACAAGTTTGTGGGACATGAGATAAAAAAATACAGCTCAGTAACACAAAAACAGGACACATGGTAACACAACTTCTCAGCAAAAATCCCTTTACCTCAGCTCAGCTGCACTGAGGTCAGCTTCATAACCACTAGATGACGCTGTAGGTTTTTAAAGACGTGTTTTATTAATTTAATTTATGCAAAGCGCGAATAATTAACTTAATGACTTAATAATGAATCAAACACTTGGGCATTTAATCAAAAGTTCAATAAAGTCTTCATGAACTTTATAACTAACGTTCTCACAGTATTTCAATGTTTTGTTTTCTTAAAACTAACTAATACTCTTATTTCAGGTAAAAAGCCTTAAGTTAAGCTGACCTGGTTCAATGAGTTCGGTGCTTTGGGGCTGGTTCGGTGAGCAGTACCTGTTCCCGGACCAGCAGCAGCCCGGGCGGCTGGTTTCTGAGTGGGTGGGCGGGTTTGTGAGCCCGTTTTGGGAGGCGGAGCGGCCGCAGGGTCGGTCGGTCGGTCGGTCGGTCGGACGTCCTTCGGGCTCCCCTCTCCCTCACACTCAGTCAGGAGAGACACAAGTTAGCAAAGTGTGACGCGGACACTTTGTGGAAGACTTTAACTCTTAAAACTACTTTAAACAAACGTTTATTTTATTTTTATTTTACCAAACGACAGAAGGAAGAAGCGCGACTCCTGGTAAGTAGCCTWAAAAAAACTGCGTGAGTTTTTCAGCAACATGACGGACAGATGAACTGTTATATGGCGAATTAAAGTGCTAAAACTTTTACTTTAATAAGTGACTTCTTGAAGCGTTTTGTATTTACTTTTATTTTTTGCCCGTTATATCTCTGGAGTGTCAGTGTGGCGTTTCCACCTGTTGCTCAGCTGCATCTAAATTTTCTTTAAAAAAATTAGGTCAAATCAAGTCGTCGGGTTTTCTAAACAAACTGCAAACATCCTCAACTAAAATATAAAACCCCTCAACGGTGTTAGGGGTGATTTTAATGGTGTTTACAGTTGGTCAAGTACACACACACACCACCTGAGGCTCAGATTCAGGTTGCATAACTTCATCGTATTTTCCCACAGTGAGTGTAAATCTTCACCTTTTTCCACTGTCGGTTAACCCCTAGCTGCTCGGATCTACGGTGGCCTGAAGGTACAAAACTCACCAAAATTATAATAAAAAAAATCACTCAAGGAGGTTTAAGAAAATACAAAATACTGTTTATTTGTTTCCTTAATGTGYGTTTTGTGAAATGTTGTTTATCCTGTTTAGTGTGTTATGTGTTTCCTTGTTTTAATGATGTCTTTTCTTTTTGGTTTCTGTGTTGCGTTTTCTGAAATGTCTTAGTTTTATTTCCTGAATTGTTGTTGCTGCAGCTCTTGACTTTGTGTCAGAGCTTTTGTTTAGGAATGAAGCTGATCATGTTGCATCTGCAGATAAAAAAAAAATATTGTCAGAGCTTCACCTTTGAACTCACCAGAACCTGGGCTCTGACATCCTAACCTGTCTGGGCCCAGTACTGACCTCTGTTCTGCAGCCCTGAAGGTAGCACCATAAAGAGCTCCTGAAGCTTTTCTTTAAAATTATTTATTAAACCACTGGAGGAAGGAAACTCTCAGAAAATAATTACTGGATGAACATCCACAACTGATTTAAATCAGTCTAATTCAAAACACAAAGACTATAAGTTAATTTAACAGATATTCAGCTAAATTTGGTGTAGTAGCAGTTAGGGGTATGGCAATACATTGATAAATATTGATATATTGATTAAATGATTTATGATTCAATTACACCAAGGCAAAATGGAAACTTTGATACATATCATCATCATATGCCCATCTAATAAAATTGATTGTGGTAGATGGGCATATATATGATATTGTATCATATCGATCACAGACTTGTGAATTTAGCTGAATCAAAATTGTATCTTGATAGACTTTGGGATATCAAGAAACGTATCGATATAACATGGTATCGAGATAAAKCTGGTGGTAGTATTGAGACTAATTCACAACATATACTTCAATGGCTGCACATTGCAAAATTTATTTGTTTTAAACTTTCAGAATAAATGTGGGCATCATGAACCACTGGGTTCAACTCTTAAACTTTTAGAGTCAAACCAACTGAAGAGCACTTCTGCCCACACAAAATAACTCTGACTCAGTCACATTTACAGATGTCAAGCTAAAGTTTGGAGTGGCTGTATCTGAGAGTCATTCACAACATATGAGTGCTAACACATCTTATAAGTTTTTGCAATCAGTTTGCACRCCTCGTTTACAAGGTTTGACCAAAATGGATAAAACTCTGTCCCRTCTAGTCATAAGATGATCTTAGTTTAACACTGTGGGAGGAAAGTGGCAGTTCATATGCATTCCTTCTTGGAAWATTGAGTCTTTGGTTTTCACTGAASGAGAAAAWTTTGCACATTTGTTCATCTACCCACCACTTGTAACACTAAACATGAAATGGTCTGTTGTTGTGTCTTCCATAACTTTTAATCTGGCCTTGACAGCATCTCTGAACAGAATACTGTACGTTTTCTACTTCTTCAGATYAAAGTCTGCAAAACTGACCAAACCTGGCTAATTATAACTCACAGACTATTAAAAACCAAGTGGAGGTGAATTATGTTGTGCAAACATTAGTTACAATGGGTTTTGTTTATTTACAGTGTTTTATGGTTGTCAGCAATACCAACTAAAATGTCTCTATGAGATGGGAAACAACCTTATTTTCAAAGGGTGTGTCCGGTTTTCACACAACCATTTACAAAGTAATCTAAGAAGAATGAAAATGTTGCATCTTTTCCAGTTTAACTTTATTGGGGGTATTACTGACTTGCTCAGCCAAGCAAAATAACTGGACTGTTTTGGGGTCATATTTGAGTAGCAGAAACAAAACAATCAACATTTCCCTACAATCAAGCTTTCTATTTAGATATCGCAACCAAAAGGCAAAGAGTTTATGAAAAATTGTTAATCTCKTCAGGCTACGCTGTTTTACCAAGATACAACTCTACAAAGGACTGCATTTCACTTGTAAGCGCGTCTGTCAGGACTTATCTCATGTTGATGTGAAATATCCTGCCTTTGCTTTTGTTGTCAGTCTTATCAGCGTCCTTCCTCTGGGCCCATCTTGTTCCATCCTTGTATTGTAACATCAGGTAGAATGGGACACTSTCAGCAGAGCAAACAGGAATCTGTTCAGGTCCCATTGTCTGCTGAACACACGGTGGCTGCAAATGGTTTTGTTTTTAATGCCTTCCTGGTCATAAACGTGTCGGAAGAATACTGGGCAGATCACTTTGATATTTTTATTGTAGTTTTTATATTATTTTACCAGCTGCTTCTATAAAAAATATCTGTGTACTATAAATGTTGAGCCAAACACCACATTTGCTGGCTTAAACTTTGTTGCCATTTCCCTAAGGGAGATTCTGTAAATGTAACCAGCATTGTACTATCTTGGCACACAAACATACAACTTAGACAAGTTGATGAAAATGTAAGCCCTCCTTAGTAGACATGACAGCTATCAGGTTATTCTCAGAGGATTGGACTACGAGGATTGGACTACGAAGTGAGCTAAACGGCTAAGCCAGCTGAGCTGAAAGTCAGATTTTTCAGTGTCACAAATGTGGCTCAGTTTGAACTTTGTTAGACCATCATTGTAACATTTGCTGAACTCATAACCTGCTTCTAGCAGTTTATGTTCTGAGTGTTGTTATAAATTGTTTTTAAAAAGCGTGACATGTTCACTGATTATTTTCCTGATGACAGAAAAATCAAACTGAAACATTTACAATATATTAAGTTGATGAAGTTGAATCAGCTGCATAGATTTTTAGATTTTGTCTTCTAAACCTCTGACGGTGAATTAAAGTGGAAATAATTTGCACCTAATAGGGCAAAGTCAGAGCTAAAAAAAAAAAAGAAAATTTTGAGCTACAACGATTAAGTTTAAGAAAGTAAAATGCTTTTTTTTCTTGAACAGCCTGAAGCAGAAAGTCTAGGTTAACAAAAAAGATCATAGAAAGACTTAAAGTATCATTTATCTCTGAGTGGAGTATTAAGTTTTGTCAAGCCAAATAGCACAAACAATGCCCAACTGTCTTGCTTCATAGTACCCGTTAAGTCTAAAGAGTCAGTTATTACTTTGTCTAGATTAGTCTATATTTGTTCTGTGCAGCAAATAGTAATTTTGTTGTGACATACTTGTTATTCATTCACCTGTAAGGCTCTTCTTAAAATACCTTGTCATTTTTGCTGATAATGAGAAGGTGTTAAAAGTTGAATCATATCTTCCAATATTATGGTTTCAGAGATCTTCTCAGGGAACACAAACTGAGACTTTTTTTTTTGGTCTCGTGATTTGTTTTACCAGAGCAAGATTACTGTGGAGATAAAAAAAACATGAGAAATGCAAACAACCAAACAGAATGAAAATGGAAAACATAGATGCGGCAAAGACATTAAGCTTTTTGTTTTTGGCTCGAGTGGAAAAGCTTTGCTGTCATTATTAAGTTATGTGGCGTCTCATCTCTGACTAATCCAGCTGCTCTAATTGTTTGCTTGCCTAGGTGGGCCACCTGATCCAGGGAGAGGGATTTATTTTCCTTCCACATTCCTGATGGAGTCCTACAGAGGGACTGGGATCCCTAACAGTGGACCACAGCGGGCCTACTCCCAGCAGTCCCGAGCTTCCAGGTCCCAAAATAATGGTGCTGGTTCATATGGTCTCAGCATTCGAGTCCAGGGCATAGACGGACACCCATATGTAGTTCTCAACAACCAGGACAGGGCAGCTCAGTCCTATGTTGAACCTAACAGCAATGGATACATTGACACAGAAGGCTCCTTCATTGAGAACTACCAGGAATATGATTTCAGAGGAGACAAAGAAGTTGTAACCAATGACCCCTTTATAGAGTACAGAACGCAGAAGGGGATCCATTATCCTGGACCTCAGAATGGTGTTTCTGAATCACAAGGAAAGAAACCATCTACGCTTTTAAATTTTCAGAAGCACCCCGAGCTTCTACAGCCATACGATCCAGAGACCAATGCCTTAAACCTTGAAAGTTTCCACAGCCTCCCTTCAAAGCCTCTGCCTCTGCCTCTGCCTCTGCCTCTGCCTCAGCCTCAGCCTGAGACTGGGAGCAAAAACCAGAATTACTCCTCCAAATCTGCTGTACAGGTCTCCAGGTCCACTGTACAAATCTCCAGCCGTGGTAGATCATCAAGCTTAGACCGGAATAAAGTTCCTGCGCAACAAGAGAAAAGGCAACCATCACCACTACGTCGAAGGCCAGCTGACACTGATGCATCTCTTCCTAAGCAGAAATCACTGCCTCAATCTCAGTTGGCTCAGCCTCAGACAAGGTCACAATCACAACAGGGTCAACCACAGTTTAAACCTTATCTCACAAGTTTAAATCCAACTCCGTCCAAACCACCGTCTAAAACTCCACCAGTGCCTGCAGCCCAGCCCCAGCCTTCCACCGTGTCAAGTACCTCAGCTGAGCAGAGTAAGACCCCCACTTCAATGAGCAGCACCAACTCCAGCCTCGAGCRAACCCGCCATGAACCTGACATTCTTTCCCTACGTCGTTCTGACTCCAGTGAGCCAGTTCTGCAGCCCTCCTCCCGCACTCGCCATCCCTCGTTATCTTCCACAAATAAGGCTTCAATGGATGAACAAATGGACTCTCTGTATGCAGACACCATAAACCGCCATGAGAATCGTCGCTACATTCCCTTTAAGCCTGGATCAGGCAGAGACATTGACACTGGCTCCGGTCCTGGCATTGATGAGCTCATTGACAAGTTTGATGGTAAAAACGGCAGTAGTCAGCGCAGAGGAAGAGCAGGGCGAAGAAACAGGATTAATCCAGAGGACAGAAAACGCTCCCGCAGCGTGGATAGTGCCCTTGGCCTGAGAAACAACTCGAGCTACATGGATGAGGTCGATCAATATCGAGGCACGTCAATGGAGCACGTCCTACTGCCGTCACAGTTGCGTATGCAGAAGACGGCCAGCGGTCTGAACTCCTGGTCTACGGTTGTTGATGGTAAGGCAGGGCCTTCAGTTCGCACCATCAGTGCACCAGGATCCCCTCAAAGCACCATCACTAAGAGTTATGGCTCCATACAAGGCTACAAAAAGCCACAGACTCGCCCCTCTTTGCCGTCTTTTAAGAGTAACGAGAGTGAGAAAATACCTTCTTCAGCTGTGAAGGTTTCAACATCACTGTCAACGTCTCTGTCCAAATCCTCTTCCCCCGCAGACAAAACGTCCAGTCCTGAGGCAGACGTTCAGGTAAAACACCTAACAACCATGCTGTAAAGTTAGAACCAGGTCAAACGTGTTTTAACTGATTTAATCATTCGTTATGACTATACAGAGAATCCTAATTATTTTTTTACTCTGAACTCATTCATTTCAAGAAGCTTTTTGTCGTTTCCGGTCACATCCAGGCGACACCTGATCTCCTCAGAGGTCAGCAGGAGCTTTCACAACAAACAAACGAAGAGACCGCGAAGCAGATCCTCTTCAATTACCTCAAAGATGGGTAAGCTCTTCTGTTTGTGTCTAACTTCCTGTATTATAATTAAAACGGGACCTGATTGTATTAAAGTGTTTGGAGTGATTGGRTGTGCTGTCTACAAAAGCCCAGTGTGAAATGAAATAATAAACTCTTCTGTGAAAGCAGATGTTTATTTTTTGCTTCGATCTRCCCAGAGCTGTTTTAGATTAAATTTAAAAAAGTGCTCGCCTTACCCTCACATAGAGACAGATTTTTTTTTGAGTTGTCAGGAATTTATTTTCTTTCAGAAGTGTATTTTCTGACCCTTTTTTATATAGTGACACATAAAAGAATGGAAAACATTTACATTGGTTCTCTGATCCTGTTTAAGAGAGGGATGAATTGTTTAAAACTTCCGTTGAAGAGCATTTAAAAGAAAAGTTGTGACACACTGCTTTGTGTTTTAAAAAATTTAGTTAAATACCGGTAGTTTAACATCTTTGTCATCTTTTACAATGCTGCTGAATGTTTTAGCTTTAACACGTGTCATATTTGTGTAAAGGTTTAAATAATCTTCCTCTTTAATGCATACAAGTTTGATGAGTTAAACTCACATCACTCATTTTTAGAATAATCCAAAGAGCACAAAATAATCCAAAGAGCACGTCATTCAACAAAAACAAAGCAACCTGATCAAACTTTCGTTGTGCAAAGTAAACCCTACTGTTTTTCTTTATCAGTGCCTGAGCAAAAATAAACAAGAAAGACTTCCTTGCGACGTTTGCAACCTGTTTTCTCAGTTTGATGAACACTTAGCTCAAGACAAAGAGGTGAACACAGGTGAAATGTAAAATAATTTTAATGCCATTAATATTTTTTTGTCTTTTATCCACAAATATAAATATGTTAAAAGTAATATTTTGACCTTTTATTATTGTTTATACAATAACAGTGAATTTGGACCACCTTTTGTAAAAGTTTCCTTATTACTTCATAGTTTTACACTGAGAAATAGTTTGCTGGCTTCGACAGTTCCTGCAGCTGCTACAGGCTTTGGGTTTTGCAGCGAGCTCAGGAAACTGCTTGGGTGTGTCGGCCCACAGGTCAGGAGTCAGAGGACAAAAGAAAGGAAACACAGATGGAAGTTCAGGGGCTGAAACTGAGCTACATTCCCAAAGCTCAGAAGACAAACATTCACCAGTAGGGGATTTTAGCGTTTTAATGAAAATCATCTGCTGGAGGAGAGCTTAGAGGACGTTGGGGGAGTTTTGGCTTTTTTGTGTCAGCCTTGAAATTTATCAGGATAATATATGGCTCGTGTCATCTAAAACTGAGTAACTCCAGTTTTGTGATTTCAAATGTTTTGACTATAGCTAAATGACTAAATGCTTCTCTGAGTCAAAAAAAAAATCCTCCCATCAGTGGTTTTTGACATTGGTTGATAAACTCACAATTAGACCTTCTTTTTTTTTTCAAAATTTTTATATATGAAGCCAATATTTTTTGAATCAGCTATAACATTTGCTAGGCTACAATAAACAAAGGTCATATTTTGAACAATAAAGATGCTTTTTAACTAACTACAATTGATCTAAGTGTCAATTATCTGTCAATTTTTACTAAAAAAAACACTTCATACTCTGAGAACATTAAAAAGTGAATTGGAACATTCATATTTATTTCTTAGGTTCTGTTCCTTGTAAAATGACTAAATTCTGTAATAATCCCTACATCTTAATTGTTTTGTGTTCGTTTGCTTCCAGTTGGTTAGATGTTGTAATGAAACTGTTTGTGCTRGTAGGTGACACATCAAAGCAGTATGATCCTTCCTGACCCCCTCTAAGCTAGGATTGAACTACATTCTTCTCTGCCCAGTCTATATTATTTTTTTCCTAATAAACACAGAGAGAATTTTTTCAAACTTTTATTAACCAGAATGTTAACGTTTTATGCAGGAGCAACGATAACGACGAAACGACGAAGAAAAAGGTCAACCTTGTGTTCGAGAAGATACAGACGCTGAAGTCTAGAGCCACAGCGACCGCACAAAGCGACAACAAAGTGAGTATTTTTTTTATTAACTTAAATGTTCATAGTTAAAGATTGCTTTATTCTGTTTATGCTGGCTACACGTCTAAAGAACATGTTTAGCTTCAGCTGTTCTGCAGTAATTTAATGAGAGATGAAGCTTCCAGCAGTGCAGCTCAGCTGACTCAGATTTGTTCATTTTAAGTGGAGCTTATTTACTCTTTAGCAGATATTGTCAGCTGCTCAGTAATTGACCATCATCTATAACAAATTATATTAAATAAACAGATATTATGTCCCTGTATTTTATTTACAATGTATTAGCAAAGATTATTCATCTCAAAACTTAATAAGTGTCTTTATTTCAGTCAYTGGACCTCGCTGCCCAGACCAAAGAACTTCAGGAACAAAATGCTGAACTGGAAAAAGAGATCTTGGAACTGAGGAGACAGCTGGACGAACAAATAACGGTAACATCAGTAAAACTGCAGGTGTGCCTCTGATGCCAATCTGCTTATGCTGGCATCTTGGATTATTGCTGAACTTGTTGTTCAGGGATATCCTTTAAACATGTTTTTGCCTGAAAAAAATCTTACGGTGTAAATAAAATATGCATTTTTACAAATGGATTGGCAAAAGAATCAACAAGACTTCAGGTGTTATTCCTACATGTGTCATATAAACTGCTTAAAATAGATATAAATGTAAACATGGATATAAATAAATACATTAATATATTGTTTGGTTTTTATAAACAGAAGAGTCAGGCTGAYAAAAGGACAGCAGCCGGGTTGAAGGAGCTACAGCAGGAGCTACAGCGGAGCCTGGATGAATGCAGACGTTTGAAAGAAAAACTGACAAAGACAGAAGTCGACCTCCAGACCACAGTGGAGGAGTAAGTGAAGAGTCAAGCTGCTGGTCGAGCCAATAATCATTAACCAACCAGCTTACCTTTTTGGTTTTAACTGTTTTGTCAGTGCAAGTGTTTTTCTGAAACTGTGCTGCTTAGAGTTGAAACACTCACACTGAACTGTTTGAACAACTGGAACGTTGGAAAACTTGCWAAGAATTGTGTTTTTATTGCTGCTCTTTTGATCCCAACTGATCTCTAAGGGTTTCTGTACAGAAGAGGGTCGGTTCAGGTAGCAGCAGCACGCACGTCCCAGACTGGGCCTCCCAGTAAAGCTCCATGTTTACTTTAGTATCTATAATAACTTACTTTTAGTGACTGGTTTAATATTCAATCTGACACAGGGTTCCTGCAGATCCTTTAAAAGTCTTAAAAGTAATTGAATTCACCAATCCAAAAATAAGGCCTTAATTAGCCTTAATTAGCCTTAAAAATCAATCTTTCAGATGTCTTAAAAATGTTAACACATTGTAAATAGAATGATTGTAATTCATCTCAAATATTAAAAGAATTGGTAACATTTATTTCTTTTAAATGTTCACATACAGACATTCCCCTTTCACATCACTTCCTGTTATTTCACATGCTAATTTCTCAACAGCTGCCCATCTGAGCAATGTGAAATTTGTTTTGCAATATGTTAACAATGTTTTTTCCAAAAATGCATTCACTTTTCTTACAAAAAATTGATTTCTCAGCACTTTGTTTCATCTACAGAAAATTGGAGTTAAGACCCCACTCTGGGACCTAAAACTCCAAATTTGTGGTTGTTAGAGGATTTTCAGAAATTAAATTAGGTTTAAAACTGACTGCTAAGAACGTTTCTTCTATGGGTGATGAAAAGCAGTTCGATATGGATAAAAACAATTGGTCTATTAGCAATATTTGAATACTTCAACCAAAAATACTTTGATTCATGAATTTCTGTTTTTGTCATTTTCAWTTTTTGTCATTTGTGTTTATTACGAAATTGGTCTTAAATTTAATTTCACTTGGCATTAAAAAGTCTTAAAAGGTCTTAAATTTAACTTGGCTTAAACTGTAGGAACCATGTGACAGAACTAACAATCCTGCTTCATATCTGCTTTTTTTTAAATGTGATCCAATGGATCTGACAGATTTAAGAATGATATTTACAGTTTGTTTTATCAGAGCTGCACAAATACTGGGCCAATCAGCTGAACTGTTACRGTCCTAGATGCTCCTCTCTGATGTAGACGCGAGTGGCTGGAACACAGCTGTACAGTGTTTTGAGGCTAATTATGGCAGAAGATAAAAAGAAGAGAGGAAAATTTATTTCTACTGCACGTTTATTTTTTATTTTTTATTTTTTGCACAATTATTCTAGATTTGTTTGAGGCTTTAAAGTTTCCAAGTGAAAACTGAGGTGAACTGACATCAAGTCAGCGTTTTCTATACAAGCCAACAAGGATTGCTGTTTGGAACTGGAGTAGATGTTTTGCTCGAGTCTATATGACTGAGAATTTCTTTAAAGTGTCCCACATCATTTGCCACCCTCCACTTTGGTATTTCACATTATGTTGAAGTTTTAAATTTTGCCTCTGTGCTCTGCAGGCCTTCTGTTTAATACCAGCCCAGGTGCTTCTGTTTGCATGTATGAGTTGAGTTGCAGGTGTGCCTAAATCCTGTATAAGAAGAACCTATGCTGTGTTCAAACATATTTTGTTCCTTGTTAGGCTTTTCCAGGTGAAGATGGAGAGGGAGCAGTACCAGACAGAGATCAGAGACATGCAGGATCAGCTGTCAGAGATGCACGATGAGCTGGACTCAGCCAAGAGGTCTGCTGCTGATGAAGAGAAAGACATCTTAATGGCGGTAAGCTGCAGGGTTTGTTGTTGAAAACATAATTCTGTTAAAACGTTAAACATCAAGTCTGCGTTAACTGTTTAACCTGCTGAGTTTAAGTTCCCATCATGTCTCCCATTTTTCCCCCCCCAGGACATGATGCAACTGAAGGTGGAGATGCAGGAAGTTCTCCTGGCTAAGGAGGAACAAGAGGAGTTGCTGAGGAGGCGAGAAAGGGAGCTGGCAGCTCTTAAAGGAGCCTTGAAGGAGGAAGTATCTGCTCATGATCAAGAGGTGGACAAGATGAAGGAGCAGTATGAGAAGGAAATTAGAAGGCTGCAGACATCTGTGGAGGACGCCAAGCAGGTAATCATCCTACGATTTGACTCCTCTCTTTCAGTTTGACTTGATGCGTTCCCTCCTCCTCATGTTGCAGTTCCCCTCCCCCCTTCAGGGAGCGCAGCCTGTCAGAGAAATGTGGAGATAAGCACATTGTCAGGGGAATTATAATGGTGTGTAATTTATTGACCACATTGCCACGTGTTTGTCATCACAGTTGGTGTTTTGCTTTGAAGTAACTTTATTTGAACCTTTTTATAAGTTTCACATCTGAATATCAAAATATGAAGACACTGGTTATAAAATGAGATGGGTATAGTTAGTTTTTTTAATCAGTGTGACTTAACTTTACAAGAAAAGGAGGCAAAATGTGTTTTTTTTTTTCCTGTAACTGTTTAGTACTTTTTCCTCAGTTATGTAAATAAATAAGAGCACTAATACTTAGTGCTGAAGAAGTGACTGACTTCTGTTTAACCTCTAAAATCCAGTTCTACCAGTATAGATTTTACAGCGTGACGTGCAGATGATTTCCTAAAAATGGATAGCCAATGAAAAGGATAAACACTTTAAACGTCTGAGTGTGTTGTGATTTAAATGCACAATTTGGTGAAAGAAAAACTAATGGTCTCAGTAGATGGTAGGATATTAATCTGTGGGAGGATGAAATGGAAATTTGGCTTCAGTGGGTTGAGTTTTAAAACAGAGCAGTTTGATAAAGTATAAACAAAGTGGTAAGATGTAATTTTAAATTTTCACAAGAAACCTTTTAAATGTGGAGGGGTTTTCTTTTCTCGTTCTGCTTCTTTTTGAATAATTCTATTCCTGGAAGAGTGATACTGGAGAACAAAAATGTAGACGTTTATCTCTAGATGAAAATCTTACCTGGCACACAAGGTCCCCATTGTAGCTGTATAATTGCCACTAATACAGATCTGAGTTACAATAACATTGTTGCCAAAGCATTGAGGAGTTTTAAGCTGTTTATAAAATGGATAAAGGAGAGTGGACGAATGGGAGAAGCATGATGAAGACTGAAGGCCTGTTTGTCTGTAGGTTGCTGTGTAAACCCACGTGTGTCCTGTTTGTCTCAATGAGTGGAAGTTGCCCTTGTTCTCTGCTTCCTGCTGGCATGTTGGGGGTTCCAGCGCTGCTCTGAACAGAGATCCAGGAGGATATTTGGTTTGTTGAACAAAGTTAACTCTTCTCAAGGGACTAAGACATCAGGGGATTACCCTTGGTGCTTTGTAAACACCTGGCAAGATAAAGTCATTGTGTGTTTCTTTTTTAAGATAGTCACTCATGAAAGCTTTTTTTCCTCATTGTAAATACAATATGCTTTGCTTTTTTTACAATGCTTATTAGATATGATGCCAGATTTGATCTTACAGCACTGTTTAAGCAATCAAAAATTATGCAAAAGTTTGCAGCTGTGTTTGAATACTCACAGATTGCTCTTTGTGATCTTCTTTAGCTCATGTGTTTGTCAACTGGAGGTTGTCTTCTAACATGGCAGCTAAGCTGCATAAACAAACTGACATCGTTGCAGGGAAGTCTATAATTGCTCTTTTGCATAATAGAAATGTGCAGAAAGGTTAAATCCAACTGGGAAGACAAGTTAGACACACTTCTATTCATGCTGGGGAGTCAGACAAGGTAAAAAGAAGGTCAGAGTGGCATCTTTATTTCTGCAGCTCCATCTCTAACCAAAGTGCTGCTTCACTCTYCCCTGGCCCTGATGTTTTCTGGTGACCATGCTGACCAAGAATGCTGGAAAGTGGGGCAGTAAATTGCTCTGTATGCAAGTTAATTGTAGTGGCAGGCCATCACTAATCTAATGAGCTGCAGTTTCTGAGTCGCGACGTGTCCCCTCTTCTTCCTGTGCCCTGAAAAAGTGGGGGTAATTGTGAACCTCGGTCGATAATGAATGATGAGTTTGTTTCACACAATAATAGCAGTGGGGGTTGGGACACGCTGAATAAGTGGGTCAGTATGCTGTAGGAAAGGGGGTGCATGGCTGACCCCTATAAAAGAGGTTTGAGGTCTGTTTTGTGTCTTAACTTGAAAGCTGCGTTGTGTTTCTGATGAGCTGCAATTTGAGGAATTTTGTCTGGGCTGAAAAAAATTCTTGGCCATGCAAATTATTCTGTGCATATTTAGCAAGTGTTGCTCCGAACGTTAACAAAAACCATCTGCTCATTTGGCGGTGGATCTTCCTGTCCTGTGTCCACGTGGGCCAGTATTTGAAAAATGTGGAAGAGATGGGGTGCAGTTGGAAGAGATGAGCTTTCCCTTTCAGGAATGTTGGGGTCAGATTGGAGAATGTGCACCCTGTAGATGTTCTTCTTTACTCAGCTCCGGCTCAGTTACACTAGACCCTCTTCGACCTGCGGGAGAGGCTTAAATGTTTTTCATTTTTCCTCCCTTCGGGGTGCAGTAGTTCTATCCCAAACTCTGCAGCACTCCAGATTTTCAGTGTTGGAGGCTTTAATAGGTCTCAGCCCTTCCTATATTTAAAGACGGAGCCTTGTGCTTATTGCATCATTTCCAGCTCTTGTTATGTTTCACCAACAAACCTAAACCACAGTGTGCAACACAGCTACAGTGTTATCCTGCCCCCATCTGTAACCTCAATCCCAAATGCTGCACTTTTTAATTTCCCAACTCCACAGTTTCCACACAAGCCTCCTGAGTGATCTGCTGCGCACCTAGATGCTGTTTATTTTCTTGCTCGAGTCGTTCTCGCTCCAATCCCAGCCCGCCTCCCTACTAATCTCTGCCAGCGTGTGAACTGAAGTCTCAGTGTCTGATCATCAAACTTGTGTAGCCCTGAAAAAAAAAAGAGTTTCCCCTTCGGGCTTGTTTTGAAAGCAAAGACTCCAGCATGAGTCTGTATATTTGATGATAGCGCTATATTTCCCAGCAAAGCTTTGGGTGTTGATTTACCAGACGACTGCAAAGAGGAGGAATGAGACGACAGGACAGTAAGTGAGGAAGGAAAGGGTGATCTTGATGCAGACATCAAGGAAGTAACAGTTTATCCATCATAAAATATTCCTTCTTCCAAGTCTTCAAACAGCWATGCTGACAACTTTGTAGATTGGTGGATTTAAGCAATCTGAAAAATAATGAAATACTCAGCAATTTCACCAGAAGGTTTTTTTAAATTTAGAAACTGTCCTGGAAACTGCACAYGAACTAAACTACTACAACATTTCTAGAATATCTTTAGGTTATCTGGTTTAACTGGCTAAGAAGTATTATGATGCTAGTTGTCAACTTAGCTGACTTTGAATGCATAACCCCTTGAGCAAAACAAATATAAGGTTCATTATCTGCATCAGGCAGAAAGTTACACAACTGCTGCAGCCAGAGAAGGAAAGAGAAGCCAACAAAAAGGATGGATGTCTGAAAACAATTATTACAATAAACCCAGAAACAAGATAAAAACTGTTATTTATGCTCTAAAATAAGAAGCATTTGGTTTAGTCTTTTATTCATTTTTCATTATTATAAACATGGAATAGGAAACATGTATGTATTAATATGAATGTAAGCATGTTTTGGTTAATTTTGACATGTGTGATGTGCTGTCCATTAATATAATGTCTGAGAAAAGCTGCCAAGTACAAACTCCAAGTGGGAGCTTTGATGTTTGTATTTGTTTTGCTCCATGGTCTAATTAGAAATGCCTGATTTGCCAAAAAAAAACAAAAAAAAAAAAAACCAAACTTGCAGATTTGGATCTGAACATGCCACTTGTGCAGACGTCCAAGACTGTTTGAGATGTTTCTGATAAGTGGTTTGTGTATTCTGCAAACATTTACATAATGCTTTTTATTCTGACTGGTCACAAGATGATTATTTTTGCTTGTTTCTGATTTTGAACACTTTGACTCTTGGAGTTTGGATCTGATCGTAAATTAGCGTGTGTGCAGAAAACTCTGTTTGAGCTGTTAATCTTCGCACTTGAATTGTGTGAGATGTTTTCTTTTCTCCCACGATTCTTTGCTCAGTTTTTTTGGCACACAGCCAAAAATGTGCAACTCATTTTTGGCTTTTAACACAATGGTTGATTAAATYACCTCTTTACCTTCAAAGTCCATTGATGCAACTCTGATCTGTYGTTTCAACAGTTCATATTGTACAGTGTTTACATTGTCACACTTAGTTACACTATAAAAATGTATTGTTGCAACTTWGTTTTTGTTTTTTTCTCTGTGTGCTGGAATCAAGGTGCATCAGATTTTTTCAAGAATTTAATTTTATTGGTTTACTAATTTTGTAGTAGCTTTGAGTGTTAATAACTAAGTTCACGTAGGACGGAGGACAAAGAAGGTATCCAGTTCCCCTATGTCTCTAATTCCATTAAACTCCTCCAGATATGCAGTTTGATTTTGCCAAAAGAAGCTGGTGGTCTGTTTTTCTAAAGGACAAGGCAAGAGATCATTTCTGTCTTGACCGAGGAGATGCCAGCACTTCTCAGCTGTCACATTTTAATTTCTGCTTAAATCCTCTCKTTCAGTCAATCACAGGGCTTCCTTTGAAGCTCGTCTCAAACCTGGATACCTTGTCCTTGTGAGGGAAGTGGTGGTATTTATGTTTAGTTGATTGATTAAATGAAGGCCTCTTCTTGGCCAGCGAGGTTTAATAAAGCCTCTCTCTGAGCTTAGACATTTAATTTAAATAGTTTGATAAGGTAAATGGCTGGGGACTGCTTTTGTAACCCTTTCCAGGAAAAAGCAATTAATGTATTTTTATTTGAAACAAGAAAATCTTCAAAAATTGCACCTAGAAAGAAATGGTAAGATTCTGTCTTTTTGTAATCTTAAAAAGTCAGAAACATTAAGAGAATAATAGGGAAACAAAAGGTTTGATGCTGAAAGTTGAGCCCAGAAGTTAATAATGTGATWAACGTGGAATAAACACGTCAGGTTGACAGGTTGGATCTTTCCTTGTTCATGTTTCCTTTGTTTGCCTGGATAAAGACTCAGGCCTGAAGCTAAGATGCCATTGGAGCACTCGACCCTGAAGCCTGCACCCGACTTAAAGCTGCATTTCAAAGACAGCTCAAAGCTAGTTAATGTGCAACTTAGAATAAACACTTGGAGTATACATAMGGACTTAAGTCAAAAGTCAAGTTTGACGAAAAAATGAACTGGCTTGTGATATTAGCACTTATGCTTTTGTCAGGATTTACTAATATATGTAMGTTGAACTGTTGTTCTGATTTATTTAAGTTGGTATTTACAGAGTTAACAAGACTAGTATTGAATAAAATATACAAATTGTGCAACAGCTATTTATTTTCAATTCTTAATCATTTGCTGATTATTGGCTTCATTGTACTTTACTTTTATTTTACTGTTAAAAGAGGTAATATTTATATGGCCTCTTTTAACCTCTTTAAAAACACATTTCTTTTGCAAAAATAAAAATATTCTTGTAAAAAAGTTTTAAAAAGAGGTTATTMGTGAGAATAGGACAGAGTGAGACGTTCAGTTATCTGGGAGAAACTCGGTAGAGCCGCTGCTCCTCCACATCGAGAGAAGCCAGTTGAGGTGGTCCCCTGAATGCCTYCCTAAGGAGATTTTATAGGCATGTCCAACTGGAAGGAGACCCCTGGGAAAACCCAGAATTAGCTGGGTCTCTCGGCTGACCTGGAAACAATTTTGTTTCCTCCTAGAAGAGCTGTAAAAGGTAGTTGTCTGCTCAAGATGCTGCCTCCATGACCGACCCGAAGAGGATGGATGCATGAATAGATGGATGGCTAGACAGATGAATGGCAGTGTTRCTATTTCCTCTCATTAACAACAACAGATTTAGTTTTCTTCCTGACTGAGCAGCTTTGTTCAGTCGTGACACATATAGGGTAAAGTGGGACGTGGGACAGGCAGAATAGTTTTTGGGAGCTGGACTTGTTTTTATTGTGTTTATTTAAATGGTGCATTGATTATTTCTGCTTGTTTAATAAAGATAACATGATGTTAATCAGATGTGAAAACATGTTGAATTAAAGGTAAAAAATGCATTTTATTATTCTAATCATTTTTTAATTTACTCAGTCTAAAGGCTTAACATATTGTTTTCACCCTTTGTCTCCCTACGTAAATTGTCATTTGTTTGGATAATCCTGAGACTTGAAGCAATGCTGTGGTATGAACTCGTACTTTTAAGTGTGCTCTGAGGTGCTTTCTTCTTTGACCATGTCCTGGTGAAGCAGCAATGAGGGCGGCTCTGTAATGACAGTACAAACAGGTCTGACTGGCCTGCAGGCACTGAAGCAGGGAGACGTCCGTCACCTTTCTTATTCACAATCATTCTCCTGTTCTCGCACAACAATAACAAGACGAGCCAGCCACCAACACTTGTTATGCTGGTCACAAAAGGATTAGTAAAGAGTCAAGTAGAAACCTGTTCTATTCTGTAGAGATACTTTTTTTCATTATTTAAAACATTTGCTCAAAAATGTCCACCTGCTGACGGCTATAGTACTAAAACTGATAAGCTCAGATTTCATAAGTAGATAAAATGTAGTAAAACATAACTTATTTTTTTGTTTCAGTACTGTAGGCTTTACTTGATAAATCAACATAAAAATAGCTGAATTATGTATGTATGTATGTATGTATGTACTATATGTATGTACTGTATGTACTATATGTATGTACTGTATGCATGTATGTTAGGAGCAGTAGCATACATGAAGAAACCCAGTGTGTGGTTTTCTTAACTTAAAGCCTGTGCTCAGAGATGGCCTTCAACTTTATGAATGTCTTCACATATTTTCACTTCCCAAGTTTTCAGTATTACCCACCCTTTATCAGTTTTTTTTCCTTTCTTTTATTTTATTTTTTTACTACGGATTAACAATAGATTTTGCAGTTGGATTCAGTAATTCTGGATCTACTGGTATGATCTGCTGCACAGAAATGACCTGCACAAAAACTGTCTAACCAGTTGTGCAACATTCCACCTTCATGACAAGAAACAAATCACTGGGAACCTTTTGCATACCAACATAATTAACTACCTGAGTGTCACTACCGACACCTGTCATTTGTTGTACATATCAAGTTGTGTGATCAGTTTTCTTAGTTCCTTTCTTGTTTTATTTTCCTACGCATGTGTGTTTCAGTTTCTTCCTTTAAAGAATGCTAGGCCTTTTATTCCTAAAATCTTCCCACAAGTGCACACTAACATCTAAAACTGTTTTTGAATATTTCCACGTCTAATAGAGGTCACCATGTCACTGTCTGCTGACTTCTAGAGGCCCTCAATCAGCAGACATCAATAAAACCTCAGAGGTAGTTTCCTTCAGTTGTGGTTTATTATGAAGTGTGAAAGACTTACAGGAAGTCATTGTTCTTCGGTGCCTCTGCAGCAACAAAGAGGTCTCGAACTACAAAACCCTTTTTGTTATCAGGTTTTTGAGATGTTCCATCACGCGTCARAGTTCTGCTTTCTGTTGAGAGTCACAGACTTCTGCTTCTTTTGAACTGACGCCGCGTTCATTGTTCGGTTTCTGCAGAGCAGCGCAGCGGTGGTTCGGGAAAAGGCTGAAGTGGAGGCAGCCAAGGGCGCAGCGGAGGGCCAAGCAGGGCGGCTGACCCAAGAAATAGAGCGGCTGCGCAGGCGGACGAACGAGCTGGAGAATGAGGTGGCCAAACTCAACCGGATCATCGACGAAGCCAAGCTACAGGAGAGCAGGCTGGGAGACAAAGTCGGCCGATTGGAGGTGAGGGCTCGACAACAAAGATAATGAACTGAAAATAATCATACTTTAAGTTTAGGACTGTATTCTTTGTAGGTGAAATACAAGTTCTGAGGTAATCCTTGCATTGCAGAGGGAGAAAAAGCAACTGGAAGAGTCTTTGGGGGAAATTAAGGAGGAAGAGGAGGAGATGTCACGTGCCAACCGGGCGTTGACTCTCCGTCTGGAGGATGTGCAGGTAACTGTAACATCACTGTTCCGTGTTACAAGTGGTCAAATGAACAACTTCTCACTCCTTTTACTTTAACATGTCTTCTTTTTGCAGAGGAACTTTGCCAAACTGAGCAGTCAACACAAGGAGCTGGAGGAGAGGTTACAAGAAGAGAAGACTCAGAAGGAGCAGTTCAAAACCATGAAGAACAGCATCGAGGAAGAGAGGAGGCTGCTGGACCGAACGGTGGAAAAACTTCAGAAGGAGGTCCGTATACTAACCACGTAAAAACTAGGGGTGTAAATCACCAGCTTTATCACAATACGATATGTTTGGATGACAATTTGATATTTCTCTATCACAAAGTCTGTCACGATATGATTTCGATTCAGTTCACACGTCTGCCATCGATATAATGCGATATCGTATGTCCATCTAACACAATGACTGTGTTAGATGGRYATATGATATCGATTCMCATCGAGCATATGATGACARTATAGATCGATATTTTCATTTTGCCTCGATATAACTGAATCATGAACCATTCAAATCAATATATCGATATAGATCRATGTATCATTACACCCCTAATAAAAACATTATCTCACATCATTGACTTCAGTTTGAGTCTGATTCTGAGTTGGCAAAAAGCCTTCAGCTGTTTATTTAGATTCAAATAAGATTCATTATTATTGATTTGAATGTATTTTAATGCATAATAATCTGACTGACTCACAAAACTATGGTAAAAACAAAAAAAAAATACAATTTTAAAACAACTTTAAAAACAAAAAATAAATAAGGCTATAAATGATCGTGTTCTGCAGGTATTATTGATTTAAACCAGCATCTTAAGAATAAAGAATGTATAATTTTTACAGCAATTTATAACCTATCTAAATATAAAATTAGTCTAGTTTCAGTTTTTATGAATGAAATCAAACTTTCTGCCCCATTATTGTCACGCTGCTCTTTTTTTGCAGGCGTTTCACTCTTTTGTCTTCCTCTGTCTCTACCTGCAGATGAACGATATCGTTGAGGCGTCTCAGACGTCCACTCGGGAGCTGCAGGAGCAGATTGATATTTATAAAGAGAAGAACCGACGGGAGCTCACGGAGCTCCAGAGGCTCCTGAAGGAGCGAGGACAGGAACTGGAGGAGTTTGTGAAGACCACCAAAACTCTGCAAGGAGAGGTAGGGTGGCCCGCAGCAGCCTCGTCTGACATAATGAGGATGTAAATACTGCTTTCAGGGTGAGATGATGGTCAGGTTATTAGTCAGGCCAACCAAGCCTACTCATGCAGAATAGCTTTATGACTCAACCAGATGAGCCCTCCTTTTGACCTCATGGTCTCCGCTCAGACAGTGATGTCATCTATTTGGTATTTCTGCTCCCCGCTACCTTTCTAAACCTGAAAAACGGTTTAAAATAAAAGACTTCAACGATGAGAAGCAAACCGTCTGAATGTTGTTTTCATGTTAATAAAGGTGAAAATGAAAACTAATTACAACTAAGAGTTAATCATGGTGCTTTTGTGATACTTAATTGATAGATATAAATATATATTCCACWCTTCTTATTTATCTTTGATCCTTGTCAGCACTTTGGAATGTAGAGAATGTCTATTGAAAATTGGAATAGATGAGTGTGATTATTTATGTTAAGCTTTATTTACACACCAAATAATTACTGAAGGTGGGGCTATTGACACAGTTTTTTATGAGCACCATACAGAACAGTTTTACAGCCTAGTAAAATGCTTGAGAATAGTGTGAGGTATAATATTAACCTGGCAAAACCGCAAACTTGTAATAAATTTAGCGGTGTACAAAAAAAAAAATCACTGGTTTCAGAACTTCTGCTTTATGTTAAGTTTCTGAACAAAAGTYGTGCTTCTGTGTTAGAAATATGTGTTTAACACACTCAATAACACAAAAATAACTTTCAATGCTTGCTGGCTCCCTGTTTTTCAKTTTACAGAAGCTTGAATAAGATACTCAGTATTTGCACACAAAATGTTGAAAACATTTATCCTGACTGCTCGTGGTTATAAAAGTTAAACAGTTTTTAATTGTAAGAGAATTAATTACCCTAAAGATGTAAACATTAGATTTTAATGCATAAAACAATTTTAACTAAATATTAAAAGCATTAAACAGTGTTATATTTTAAATACACTCAGACTTCACTGAACAGTGTTCAAGTTTAAAAGTTTGTTGTTCAAAGTGCACATTTTGTTACACTTTCAGAGCTCATGAGGTTTCATCCTCTCATGTCATGTGATARAAAGTAGATAATAAGTGTCAGGGCAAGGTCAGCCTCCAGCCTCTTCCCGTCTGTATCCCCGCTGATGTATCTTTACTCAGCTGGAGYGCAGGAAGAGGAGGATGTCACTGTTGCGTTATCATTGTTGTGAAAGCCTCGCTGGCTCATTCACATCCTCCTCATCCTCCTCCAACACCTCTCCAGAGAAACTGATTACTCGTCCAGTGAGTCCTCTTATCACGCTGCTCTCAAACCTCCTGTCAGTCTCCTCCCATGTTTTCTTGGCAGGTCATTATTAAAGTTATGAGTGCAGGCCACAACATCTGAAATGTGTTTATATGTATTTTTTTTTTAAAAAGATAACTGGGAATGATGGCAACTTTAAAACAAACACAAGTGGTAAAACAAAAAATAAGCACATTCAGGAATAAATGGATGTTTGTAAGAAATTAGTGCAGCTGATGAATTAGTCTTGGCAGCAAACAGTGGGGTCAACTGTTCCAGCTGCGGGGG